TTCGCTGCCCCCGGGAGGCAGGGGGCTGGGCACCTGCCCTGCACCCCACCGTGAATGAAGGCTTCGGCCCGCTGCAGGTTTCACCGCTAGTCCTGGAGCTAGGGAAGGAAGATCGTGTTTCGAGGCTCAGATTAGGCTGGAAGATGAAATTGCGGCAGCAGCTGCAACTCGAGGGAACACAGAATAAAATCGTTAATTATGGGGACAAAGAAACAAGAAACTCTTCCTATGTTACGTTTCGCATACACCTAGGTCAGAAGGGTACAGGCAACGTAACTTGGGAGGTGGAGGAAATTTCATCACAGCGCTCTGACCTCATGAAAAGGAAACCCTTCCAAACGTCCGTATCGGCATCCTACGGGAACTCCCTCTGTCTCGTGTTTGGAGGGTTTCCTATCTGGGGTATGTCAAATCTCTCTCCACACAGAATAAACCCACAAAATCCTGACACTAGAATTAGAAAACTCTTACGAGCTCCAGGGAGAGGGTACGTTACATGTTCCCAGGTAACTCAGTTTCTGAAATGGAGAACTGATACTCTCGCGTGACTCGAAGCCTTAGTTCTCAAAGAAAACCAACAAATATTAAAAGGATTAGCTACACTTCATCCTACTCTAGATCAGCACGTGGAGGTCTTTGCCAAGACACAGATCAGACAGCAGGACAGCCAGCAAAATACTTGAAATGGGGTAGACAGAATTTTACGAGTGCTACAGCACAAGCAGCTTCATTGCAGAGGAATGCCTTTAAGTAATGTGAAAATTGCACACATTGTTTTTTAATGCTTCTCAAAGTTGCCTGGTTAAATAATCTGCCTTTTTTTAAAGGCACTGTCAGCTTCCAAGTCAAAAGTGACACGAGTGCTGCTGTGAACAATGGATTCTGGTCCGCAGGCTCGGTCCGATCTTTGAGCTGACAGTCTACGTTCAGACCCAGAGAGCGGTTTCCAGAGCTTGGATACGATTACAGAAGCAAACCACCGCTCATCTCACACATCACTCCTTGCCTGGGACTGCGTCTCTTTGCCAACACAGATGACTTGATTCGCACAAGCACCTTGAACCAGGCTGCAGCTGAAGTGGGCACTCAGGACGACCAGTGAATTCAGAGCCTCCGGGATCACAGCATCGCTCTGCCTAGAAGAGCTCAGGGGT